ATTGATCATGAAGTGTGATTGTGAATGTTGATGATACAGTTGAGTTTGATGAAGAATTTTGATAGATCTGAACCAAAACTGCTTATTTAGCTGGTTTATGACAGATTATATTTCCTCTTATTCTTTCTGACAGCATGCTAATGATGAAATTGCACTAGTGCAGCATCCATTGTTTGTTTGTAAGTATTCTCTGGAGTATAAATCCCAATTTTTAATAATCCGAAACGTGAGATTTATATTTCAAAGCGACTAATGCATTTAATGTCAAGCATGCAAAACATGCGCAAAGTGCACATTTGGATTTGTGGATTTTGGTGTCTTTGATTTATAATAACTGCAACTATAATTTGTTTGTTTTAAACGTATATTTTTCATACTTTTTCTGTTTTGAATATCGTTAAATTCGAAGAATTTGTCGTGGAGTGGAGTTTTTAAAATACATGTTTAAGTTTAAAGTTTAGCAAGTTTGCAGTTTCTAAATGTAATAATTATTTGTGACTTTTTTCCTCTGTTTTTTTTCCCTCTCCAAACTATAAACAAGTTTATTTTTAACTAAAACTATTAAAACTCATTTTCGTTCATTTGAAAACATAAAAAATAAATATTATATGAAACATGTAAACAAAAATTAGAAATGTTCCCTTGACGACTAATTGAAATAAGTTTAGGTTGAATTACTAACATTACTAAAGCTAAAACTGAAATAGAAAAATTAATGAAAGCTAAATAGAAATAGAAAAAAGTCTAATAAAAGAACAAAAGCCCATAACAAAATGAACAAATCCTAACCTACATTTAAAATGAAAACTAAGGATATAAAAATAAAACCTAAATGAAAATATGATTAAATACCTTCATATAAAACTAAAAAATATTATATTTATATAATATAATAATTCTAGAATATTATATGAATAATACTAAAATAATGACTTATTTTTCAAATATATGGTAAAAAAGACAAAAGAGTAAATATAAACTTATCCAACACATGCAGTTTATTTCTAAATAGAAATGTTAAAAACACCTAAATCTAAAAAAAAGACAAAAGCACATAACAAAATTACCAAAATCTGAAGTGAGATTAAACTAAAAACTAAAAATATATAATATAATATAATATAATATAATATAATATAATATAATATAATATAATATAATAATGACTTGTTTTCCAAAAATATGTTGAAAAAGGGTAGAAAAAAGAGAGTAAGAAATCTATAATTACTCAACACATACACTTTATTTCTGTTAAAATCGTGGTCGTATCATAATCACTATTTCTAAACTCATAAGAAGGAACTTCAGGAGAACTTGAAGGCAGCAGCAGGATCAAACGCTGCTTCTGGCTGATCCAGGATTCATTTGTTCTCTCTTACATGTCAACTTAAGCGTGCGATGTTTTGGCTTTGCATCTGACGGATCTCCATCAGAGGAGGTGGAACGGAGCCGGCGTGTGCTCCATCGACGTAGCTGGTTTGAAGACGGTTTAGTAGTGTCTTCTGAGGCCTGATTTCTGAAGTCTGGATCAAAAAGCAGCGACATACTGCCTCTGTAATCGCGTACAGCAGCGCGGCTCGGGTTCATTCACGGCTCTTTCCTTTTCTGTATTCTGCCTGGAAGATTGAAGACAGTTCCTGCGACATGAACGCACACGTTTACATGAACAGCTCCACTAAGAGTCTCTAGAAGTTTACTTCAGCTGAGATGTTCAGCCATGCATGAAATCCAGCGTACATTGCTCTAAGCATTTGTGTTCATGTTCCAGTGTAGAGATGCTTTGGGCTTTAATAACACTTATTTATGAGCATGAAAATAGTCTGTTTATATACTACTAACAGTACTATATTAACTTTGGAACATGCAAACATCAAACACATTTCACAATCAATTGGTGACAATGTAAAAAGCACTGTTTGAGTATGAAGAGTGTCTCAATTCAGTCATTTCGTTTAGGATGCTGCTCATGTAGGCATTAGACAGCAAGGCTGCTCACTAAGTTTTGGAACAGAGAAATGTAGTTTTATTTATTTATTTAGAAATTTACTTTGGATGTTAGTTATTAACACACATCCACACACATACAAAGAAAACAAGTAGATAGAATAGAAAAAGAATATAGAAAGCTAGTGTTAGAGCTAGTTTTTAAAAGTTATTTATTTAGAAATATATTGTTTAGGAATTTTTGTTATTTATTTTAATTTATATGTTTATTTAGAAATTTTATTTTTGTTTATTTAGAAATATATTTATTAAGAAATTTCTTTGTTTAGAAATTTATTTATTTTTTTAGGCATCTATTTATATAACTGTTTATTTAGACGTTTAGAAAAATATTTATTTATTTATGTATTTAGACTTTTATTTATTTATTAGAGTGTCTCAATTTGATCATTTGGGATGCTGCCCATGTAGGCAGTACACATTTTTTTTGAAACAGAAAAACATATTTTTATTTAAATATTTAGACATTTGTTTAAAAAGTAGTTATTTATTTATTTAGAAATTATCAAAGCTGCTCACTAGGTTTTGGAAAAGAGAAATATATTTGTATTTATTTAGAAAGTGAGTTTATTTAGAAATTTTATTTTAGAAATGGATTTGTTTGGAGATTTTATTTATTTATTTGTTTATTTAGAAGCGTTATGTATTTAGAAATTTATTCATTAAGAAATTAATTTAGAAATGTATTTATTGACATCCATTTATTTATTTTGAAATGTATTATTTTATTTGTTTTAGGAATGCATTTCTTTCGATATTTTTTAATTAATTTGATTATTTAGAAATGTAATTTATTTATTTATGAACTTAGAAATGTATTCATAAGAAATGTATTTAGAATTGTATTTATTTATTATTATTAAAAAAAAATTAATAATATATATATATATATCAATCTAGTCGTTTCATGTATGGATGCTGCCCATGTATCGTAGGCTCACGAGGTATTGGAACAGAGCCGCAGGTGTTTTGTATTATAGGAAAGCAGTTTGTCAAGCCATAAATCTGTGCCTACTCATGAAAAACAAGCGGCTCAGAGTTCACTGCAGTTTTCTCTCAACTCAATATTGGATCCGGCAGTAAATAGCTCATTTCTAAACAACGCCTGCACTAAATAATTCGCAAGCTGCATGAATTCTTAAAAAGATGGACGAATATAGCTGTTCTCTTACTTTGCGGTTTTGTACGAAAAGCAGCGTTCAATAGCAGCCTGACGTTGGGTTATATGAAGTTCTGTTTATTCGGCACTACATCTGCGAGCAGGAGAAAAGAGAAATGCAAGTTCAGAGTTTTGAGAGCATCTTATCTGTCGTACTGTGCCTACGCTTGTGTTTTTCTCTTCCAGCGCCTGCCTTTCAAACCAGACAAACTCGCATTCACACGCTGTTCTGCTGCTCACACTCGTTTGTGTCGGCTCAAGTGTACATTTACAGTGTTCGGCTTTTATGACTTCAGATGGTCCTTGACGTGAATGTGGCACCATCTGATCCATTCAAATATGTCAGATGTAATATACATCATCATGTATATATATGTATATATATATATATATAAGCGAGACCAAGGCTATATTACACTCGTTTGTGTCGGCTCAAGTGTACATTTACAGTGTTCGGCTTTTATGACTTCAGATGGTCCTTGACGTGAATGTGGCACCATCTGATCCATTCAAATATGTCAGATGTAATATACATCATCATGTATATATATGTATATATATATATATATATATATAAGCGAGACCAAGGCTATATTTCAGTAACTACAGTATTCTGAGTCAAAAGAGCAGTTTTACCCATCAGCAATTGATTTGATGCTGAATGATTGAGATATTAGACTACAAAGATTAAAGATTACAGAGGTTGCATGAGTGTATTTATTTAGAATGTCGATATTTATTTGGTTAGAAAAATATTAACTTATTTAGTAATGTATTTATTTATTTAGAAAAGTATTTTCTTTAGCAATTTATTGATTTCAAAATGTATTTACTAAGAGACTTGTACATTTCATTTTTAAAAATAGAAATGTATTTATTTATTTATCTGCTCTGTTTATTTAGAGTATTTTAATTTTTATTTGCTATATAATGTAGTTTAGTTGTTTAGAAATGTATTTCTGTCTTTGTTTAGAAATGTATGCACAGTATGTTTTATTTAGAAATGCATTTATTTAGAAATGTACATAAAATTCAATTTATTGATATATAAATGTTTATTTTAAAAAAGGTACAAATTAAAAAGAACATGTATTCATGTATTCATTTAGAAATGTATTTATTTAGAATATTTTTTATTTATGTATTAATTAATTTATTAAAAAAAGTATGTACTTAGAAACGTATTTTTTTTCACAGTAAGACCAGGAACATGTATTATAGAGTTGGTTTTGTTTTTAATTATATATTACAGGTGAAATGTTGAACTGTGGGGTTGTTATTTTCAATAATAATTCAATCATTCATTTCTGATGGACAACACATAGGTGTGATATATTTGTATGTTACTTTCTTCATTTTTGTTATCATAAATTGTGTTTTGTATACTTTTTTACAGTTTAAATTTGACTAAACAGCCATTGGATGTATTTTAAACACAGAACTGTTGTGAAAGATGGATTTTTTACTCACCACGAGCTGTTATATATATTTTACATAAATATCTCTGAATATCTCCTTCCTCCCACCTGAATTTGGAGCATGCGAGGCCTTTGAGTTTTGGAGACTCATTTTCATAATCTCTCTACACAGCAGTGAAACTCATAAGCGTCTGACAGCTCCGGCAGAAGAGAGTTTAATGACGCAGGCCAAATGCCTTATTTGAGTAATAGGAAAAGGCAAAGGCATTAAACGAGCCGTTCGTCCCGTACGGTTACTCACACACTTATGTGTCTCATCATACGATCCGCTGACACTCTGCGTCTGATTCTGTTTAATGCAGATGAGCATGCATTCAGTGTATAATGTGTGTGTGTGTGTGTGTGTGTTTAATGTGCAGGGGGAAGGAGTTCGGTCACGATGTGGACTTCATCATTAAAACACCTGAGGCAGGACAGGAGGACGTGATTCTGCCCGCCGTGATCAAGCGATTCAAAAGCCAGGTACAGAAACACGTTCTGCTGAAAAAGCTTTTATCTGTAGATTGTTTGGCCAAATATTGAAATTAGATTAGATTCAACTTTATTGTCATTATGCAGAGTACACGTACAGAGCTAATGAAATGCAGTTTGCATCTAACCAGAAGTGCAAGAATATAGTGTTTTATAAACAGCTAAGTGCAGAGTAAGTGAAGCTATAACTTACATTATGTACAGTGGAGTTGCTATATACAATATTAAGCAGAGTATGTACATAATATAAAAAGGAGTGCAATGTATGGTTGTATGTACAATATGAACAGCAGCAACGTAAGAACAGTGGTAATAAATACAGTTGGTTGTGTTGTTGTTAAACAATGTATAGTCTATGCAAAATATCAGTAGTGCAATAATATTTTTATAGACATAGTTTACTGTGATTTGTACAGTAACAACGTTGGACAGTGTACAGTGTAATAGCTTGAACAATGTACAGTCTGTGCAAAATATGAATAGTGCAAATACATAACGTACTGTGACCAATGCAGTAAGAGAGCAGGTGCAGGTTAGATTGATGGTGTGGAGCTCAGAAGGGTCACAGCCTCGGGGAAGAAGCTCTTCCTGAGCCTACTAGTGCGAGAGTGTAGGCTCCTGTAGTGCCTGCCGGATGGAAGGAGGGTAAAAAGTCCATGATTAGGGTGTGAGGCATCCTTGATGATGTTCCTTGCCCTGCCCAGGCAGCGCTTGCGATAAATGTTCTCAGTGGTAGTTAACTGGGTGCCGGTGATCTGTTGAGCAGTTTTCACCACCCGCTGGAGTGCTTTGGTCTGATGCGGAGCAATTGCTGTACCACACTGAGATGCGGTTTGTAAGTATGCTCTCAATGGTACAGCGGTAGAAGTCCACAAGGATCCTGGGACTCAGGTGAACTTTCTAAAGGCTCCGTAAGAAGTAAAGGCACTGCTGTGCCTTTTTGACCAGGTGAGGTCATCAGAGATGTGGATGCCAAGGAACTTGAAACACGGCACACGCTCCATTACAGCTCCATTGATTTAGATGTGCATGACTCCTAGTCCGCCTGAAGTCCACAATGATCTCCTTTGTCTTCTGGGTGTTTAGTTCCAGATTGTTGGTAGCTGTAGGCTGAGTCATCGTTATCTTTGATCAGCCCTACCACCGTGGTGTCATCTGCGAATTTGATTATGGTGTTGGAGCCATAAACAGGAACGCAGTCATGGGTGAATAAGGAGTACAGAAGAGGGCTCAGCACGTAGCCCTGTGGCACGCCGGTGTTCAGGGTGATGATGGAGGAGGAGAGGTTATCTAACTTAACAGACTGGGGTCTGTCAGTCAGAAAATCCAGAGTCCAGTTGGAGAGGGATGTGCTGATTCCAAGCTGGCTGAGCTTGGAGGGGATTACAGTATTAAATGCAGAACTGAAATCAGTGAACAGCATTCTCACGTGTGTATTTTGACTGTCCAGGTGGGTGAGGGCAGAGTGAAGTGCCGTAGAGATGGCGTCCTCTGTTGACCTATTGCGGTGATAGGCAAACTGGTATGGGTCTAGTGTAGCAGGGACACAGGATTTTAGATGGGATACAACCAGCCTCTCAAAGCACTTGGCAATGATGGGGGTGAGTGCGACAGGACGGAAGTCCTTAAGGGCCGAGACAGTGGAATGCTTCAGTACTGGCACGATGGTGGAGGTTTTGAAACTAGTGGGGACAGTTGCCTGGGCCAGGGACAGATTGAAAATGTCCGTGAAGACCTCAGCCAGCTGCTCCGCACAGGCTTTAAGCACACGACCAGGTATTCCATCAGGGCCAGTTGCCTTCCGTGCATTCACCTTACACAGAGTGGAGTAAACATCCAGGGCTTCTGATTGGGGAAAAATGTAATTTTTTTGTGTGTAGTCACTCTGCCCACACACCTGTTGATGTGCTCCAGGACAGAGTTGGTGTAAGTGTCAATGTCTATCTGAGAGCTTGTGGTGGGCTGGGCAGCAAACTCACTCCAGTCTGTGTGCTGGAATTGATGCTGAAGAGTGGAGTCATGTACGTTTGATGACCGGGGTATACTTGGGGAGCAGGAACAAAGAGACATGGTCAGACTGACCCAGGTGGGGGAGGGATGTGACTTTGTAGGCATCAGTCACTCAACCTTTGGGTTACGAGTCCGACTCTCCAACCATTAGGCCACGACTTCCCCTCTTTGTATATACATGGTCCAATGTTTTATGTCCCCTTGTTTCAGTTTCTCAGTCAGTTTCTCAGTGCATAAAATTAATGATCTCGCGTTTCGCTTCAGAAAAGATGATCTACTTTGAAAAATACACTTGTCAGTTTGGAAAGTTATGTTTGGGAAACCTTGATGGTGAATCTTTTTAAAAAGACTTACAATGAAAGTATATATAATATATATACTTTCATTGCAAGTCTTTTTTAGTTACAGTTTTAGTAGTTCTTTTCTTGGAATTCTCTTGTAATTTAATTTGCATTGAAAACCTTGATGTGAATGTTTATGTTTTATAGACTTAAAAAACAAAAGTTTTTATTATTTTATTTGTTTGTTTTATTATATATTTGTATATTTATAATATTTATTATTTATTTTATAGGTGTGTTAGTAACTTACTTTTTTTAATTTAAATTTTAGAGTTATTTTATTTTAACAGTTTAATAATTTAATTAGGAACTTGAAACTCGGTATGTTAGTAACTTTATATGCATTACATTTTTAGTATTTAGTTGTTTTTATTTTAATAGTTTTTAATAGTTAATGGTGTGTGTGCGTGTGTGTGCATGTATATATATAAACGCGCTAGAACGACATGTGGGGGAATAATTAATGACATAATTTTCATTTTAGGGTGAAATAACCCTTTAACATATTTACTGACATATCGCTCAAGACTTACTAAAATACAAATTATAATTAAACTTTATTTGGACTACTACTTGTGCATAATGCACATTTCTTAATATTAAGCCTAAAATGTGTGTTAATGTCACTATTGATGAGGATTGTACTATCTTTAAATAATAAAGGTCTTTAAATGCAAGATATATAAAGTGTACCTGAAATGTACTTGCAATAGTTCCATTTTAGCACAATCAAATACACTTCAGCACTACTTCCACACAATTAAAGTGCATTAAGTACAAAATTAGTGGTTCCAATTTAGCAACCTTTAAGGATACCAGTTTAGTACACCAGAAGTACAATTGCAGGGTATTTTTATTAAGCACATACATATGTACATTTATTTGTGTTATACTTATTACATTATATTTTAAATACATTTTAGTATATTTATTTTTCACTAGGTTCATTCATTCATTCATTTCTTCCTTCGTTTTGTACTTTAGTTTGCCGGAAAACCTTGTAGATGTAAAAAATCAATAACAAGTGTATTTTATTTTATTTCATGCACTCAAAACATTTGTTTACTTTATATGCATATTAGAATTTATTTCGTATTTTAGTGTCTAATAGTTTTATTTATTTATTTACATTTTGTCTTGCTATTTAGTTTTGGCAATTAGCATTTTAATGTTTAATTGTTGTTTGGTCACTGTTGAAAATCTATATCTCAGTCAAAGCTAAATATTGCATGTGGGATCATTCAGCTCATTTCCGACACATGCTTAGAGAGTTGGCTTAAGATTTGTGACGTTTGAGTATATGAACGTGTTGTTTTTGTGGATGATGTCCTGTAAGTCCCCCCTGAAGTGTGAATGTAAGCACTGCCCTGTTGAAAAAACCAGCATATGCTGTTTTTTTCAACAGGGTGGTCCTCGCTGTGTTTTGCTGAAATCACATGGATCGTCTTGAGGAAAGTTTCTCATCAGATGTGCTGGAGTGTGTCTGATGCTCTCTGTGATTTCATCGATGTTTCGTGGTTTTGATTGTCCTGTACTAGCAGAGATGCTGTTGTGGGGCAGAAGGCCTTTAATGGTCACTTAAAACAATCAGAGCGGGCTGTTCATGCGCTTGGTGGATAAACAACTCCCTCTTTTCTCTAAAGTTTGGCAGCTGATTACAGAGCAGGAAAGAAAGACAAAACAAGAGACCAGTGTGAAAACACACCTGATTAGGGTGATGATTTGTAAATAATCAAACAAGACTAGTGCTTAAAGACAATAGGCATTAAAGTGATTTTGCCACAGTGTTTGGGGTTTCAGGAGCTCTACTTCATATTGTTACAAACAACAGTTTTTACTATGGTGAAATCAAAAGTTTTAATTTTGACATGTGGGGACGTAACAGCAGACAACTCTCCAATATTTCTGCATTTATGATTGACTTTTGACCACAGTTTCATGTCATCTTTATGTATAGCTACGGTAGCCAACATACTGATAATTCATAAAGAAAGCTTTAGCATATTCATTAGACAATAATTACACAACATTACAGCTGCATCAGAGCGCTGGGTGTTTTAATCACGTACAGTACATCATTTTATATTAAAAAATTATTCTGACAGTAATCTCTACCGTTGCTATAGTAACGAACACAACCTTCTGATAATCATCTGATTTTGACCTGATAAACCACACGCTCTTATTTCAGTGTTGTTTTTTAGTTTGTGGATATTTCAGCAACAGTTTGCTTTGTATATTCAGTTTAACAACATAAAGTGGGTAAACTAAAGAGGGTAAACTTTATCATTCAACTGAACTGTACAAATATGTTTTAAACACTTTTGTAAGTGTCTTTTCTTTCTGTTTTAAATGTGTTTTCTTTGAATGGTTTGACTAAGAGTATATAGGAAAATATAACTTAATTGTGTTTCTTGCAAGCTAAATTTCACACACATAAACAAAAATCTGGCTCTAAACCTCTTTTTTTTTTGTTCAAAGTTGTTTTAGATGAGTATATGGGAACTATCCAAAGCTCTGTTCATCCTAAAGCAGTAAAAACTGCATCTCTATATTCATATGAGTCTTCTTAAAGTTGTGAATTTATTACTTTTTTATTTCTTTTTTTGTATTAACCTGGCAACACATCCCTTTTGAAAA